ATTCGAGTAAGAATTCATCCCTTTACTCTCTGTTATGGAATTGAAGTTTAATTATAAGTAATATAGTATTTTGCGTAATTTAAAAAATATCAATAATTAATTACAGGTTACTAATGGAGTCAGAATCGGTTATTTATTACTGTTTGTCATGTTTTAATTGATTGTTTGATTTTACAGTTATGAATACATAATAATATACTGTAATTAGTAAGATGATTTGGTTGTATTTTCTTGATGCATGTATTGCTTGTTTTGCATGACTTACAGTTAAATTGTGAAACTAAAAATTAAATATAAACAGAAAATCGCTTGATTAAGTGAATGAATGAATGGTAGTCTTATTAAATATTCTGAAAAATGGTGGACGGACCGGTTACATAGGGAACCCTACCGTGAACGTTGTCTTATACCGGACGGAGTATCAATGATTGGTATTTTTGGCACTCATATCGGACGGGATATGGGGACGACCCGTTTCACCCTCATACCGGATGGGGTATCGAGAATTGATATTTTTGACGCTCATACCAGACAGGATATGGGGATGGTCCGTTTTACCCTCATATCGGACGGGGTATGCGGATGACCTGTTAGTTGACGATGTTGAATAATAGTTCACACGTAGTGGGGACATCTTTATGGACCTCCATGGATACTAGTAGACAGATAAAAAAAGAAAGTTGTTGTTCTGCCTAATTGAATATGAGATTATAATATTGGTTATGTTATTGCTTGTATAAGTAAGTTTTAAGAATCTCGTTACGATAAGTATGCGATAAATGATTTTATTTATGATAAATGAATTTACTTAAATTAATAGCTCAATTAATTGTTTTTATAATTTCTATAAACCTTCATTTATGTATCGATGAATAGTGTGATATTCTTACTGGACTAGTGTAATTCACTCTTTCATTAACCATTTCAGATCAAGATGACCAAAATTCATATCTCGATCCACATGAAGGTTGCGAATAGGATGCTCAGTTGTTTACTTTCCATTTATTTCTTTGATTTTTTGTTTGTTTTTTGAAAATAGTCATTCCCGTAGCCCTATTGGGTATTCTGAATTATTGTGTAAGCAATGTAAATCCTAACTTTATTATTTCTCTTCTGCATTCAATTTATAATTTATTTCTTTTTAAGTTTCAAGTTGTTATAACTTAAATGCATTTCCTCTTTATGCGCGATTGGATGGACGAAATCAATCGCGATGAATAGTTCAGATTCAACCATGCAATTGGCCTAAATAGGTAATGATCGGATGACTTTCCTCGCTCCATGTCGACGCGAACGGATGGTCCAGATTGACGCGAGATGAGTATTTAAACATCACGTCTCAGGAAACCATAACCCTAGCCGCACTTGTCCTCGTCGGAGAAGAAGAACCAGACGCTGGAGAAAGAGACCGACTCTCGGTTGCCGTTGCACCGGAGCCACCATTGACTGCGGCGATAGACAGCTGAGATCAATCGTGATGACAGTCTAGATTCGTTTTTC